CATTTTCAAATAGGCCAACAGCACATCCTTTCAAGTAATCTTCCAAGAGCACCAACTGAGCCCCCCCGCCCCCTTTTCATGTACTTGTACATGTCAGGGTTGATAAAAATCCTGATTTAAAAAGAAAAATTAATCTGATTTTAATAAAATTTAAATCAGATTTTTTTTAATTAAATCATTTTTTTCAAAAATAGATCTTTGCATTAAGTTGTCCAGAAAGCTTTTAGTCCTGAAGTTCAAGACATGATACATGTACATGTATACCATTAAAGGAGCAAGTGATGACTGCACGGCCGGCCGGCCGTTGTTAAGTTTATCATAGGCTGAACTGTTTATTTCTAATCTAACACAAAAGTTTGCTAAGTCCAGTTACCCACACTTGGAAATAATACAAAACTCTTGGTATGAATAAGCTATTTATGCAAATTTCAATAATGAAACATGATGATTAAAGATCAGTGTCTTTGCTTTTCAATTGCGATAACTCCTGTACATGCTAACACATGACATGCCTTGTGTAACATTTCGAGAGACTTTATTGAATAAGTACACATCTTCGGTGTTCCAATTTTCATGATATTTGGCAATACTGCTTGCCATGATCCTGTTATTTGTGTGGAAATGTTTTAAAGGCATCAGTATATTGAATTCAGCCATTTCTTCCTTTCACATTCTCTAAAGAATTTAAGGTTTCTTTCACGTGAGTTTTTAAAGTGATTTTTGAAATTTTTGAAAGCGATTTAAATTGTGACTTAAATCAATGATTTAAATCCTATGATTTAAATCAAACAACATGGGCACATGTACATGCAGCAGCGGCCGGATGCACCGGTTCCATCCTAAATCCTACAAACTCTTCCGAAATCTCACGACACAGAGTTTGAAGCATCTGCAAGTGGGGAGGTCAGGGTTTAACGCTCAATAAAATGTAATACCAATAGTCTCGAATCAGTTTTAAGTTTTCTTGAATTTCAATAGTGAAATTATAAAGCATCATGATGTAATGCATGTATGTACATTGAGACAACGCTTGATTCTAAATTTGGTCCTCACGATGAAGCATTATTTATTTGGCGGAGGCGCAAGTAGTTGCTTGGAGAGTAGGCAGTACATGTATGTACATGTACATGTATATGAGTGGAAAAGCTTTAACTTAACTCAAAATACATGTGCACATACATGTAAATTGCTAATTTTTTTTTCTCTCAATGATCACTCTAAATTTTCTTATATTTTGGATGTACCCCTAATGTGGTGCAGCCCCTGATGTGGCCGATCCATGTGGCATGCTTTGTGGCTTGCTCAGACTTAACAGTCCGTGAAATTTCAACTCTCCGCATTCTTGTTGATAAATCCTAAGTTTAAGTGCTCGCTACAAATTCTGCTGAAATTCCATTTTGGCTTGATTTTCCGGTACATTTTCAAAGTGCACACTGATGAACTCTTAAAAATGTTTCCCAAAATACAAAATAATTTTCTGACAAACTTGCAGTTGGGTATACGAATGGAGGTAAAAAATGATTTATTAGAATTTAGCAACTTTAAAGAAATTCTTAAATGTTAATGTGGGATAGTCTGAGGGAACACTCAGGCTGAATTTGTGGCCAATTTCTATACGCCACTGTTTTTTTAATTTTGGACTAAATTTGTGACACTGAAAGTGTGCCAATGGTTCAAGCGTATTAAGAGAGTAAAACGGAATAAACTGGAAGCTTTTCACCAAAGTCTAAGGTTTGGCAACACTGCATGAGGACAGTTGAGGGAGCATCAAAGACTGCCATGTTCCAATACAAAAACGGATCGGACATGAAGACCTACATGTACCTGTATGCACACAGTTTTTGGTACAATCCACGTGGCATGGCAATAAAGCTTACACCCCAGGGCACTGACATTTGTTCCTCTTTGTCAAAAAATCGTTAAACTAATCCATGTCAACAACATACACAAAACCGTTGCACTTTCACAATATGACTTTCAACATGAACTAAAACTCACAAACACAGAACCATTACGGAAGAGTTCCATGTATAGACACTGCTTGACATCCTGTACACAAACACAATGTGACTGGTTTGAAAAATTGTGTTTTCTATGTGAATACTGTACCTCGATATGTTCCCTGCCAAATATCACTTTCCAGGTCATGTTATTGCTTTCAGATGGCAAATAAGTACCTGTGCTGTAGCAAAAAAATAAGTGGCGTCCGCAGGCCTAGGCCTACATGGAATTCTTTCCGAGGAAAGAAAACAAAAAACAAAAGCTCAATCGTTTATAACGCTGAAAATTGTCAAAGATGGAAGAGTAGGATATCTTCTTCGAGTCCTCCTTTAATTTAGCCAAAATAAATGTTTACAAACCTTTCCCCACCGCGGAGACAGACACAGAATCACTTCCCAGGAACATGACGGTCAACAGATGTGGGTAGGTTGTTTCCAAGGCAAGACACAACATCTGGAAGGCTTGACTCCCTCGGCCCGGCAATATGTCCAGCAGCTTCTGAACCTTGGCCTGCGGGCTAGGCTGTTGCTCGATCTCCCCCACGTCCGCTTGGCTCAGCACGCTCGGCTGCAGCATCGGGTACAGCCGTTCCACCTCCACCGACTGCACGAACTTGGCCCGGTGGAACTTCAGGATCTGGGCGTGTTTTTCCTCCATGGCTACGGCTGACGAGGAAGAGTTCATCGAAAGGCTGCCTTGTTGGTCGTTTGGCATCACTTCAGCCTGAAATTGCTTCCCTCTCAGGCATGTTTACTTCGAAGATTGGGTCAAACTATGTTCGTCAACAGCTGTGCGGTCGGCCATTTTTGATACCGTTCGAGAACTCTCTCACCGTCACACTCCTAGTTCGTTCCCAAAGAAACAAACCACATCATGTCATTCAAGAAAGCTGTATTTGATAAAGGATTTAATACTTTACCTGAATGTCACATATGAAACAAAATTGAGCTCTGTTTTGTCAAATATAGGTGAAAATTTGCAACGGGTGCAAACTCTTCGCAACCCATTCGACAGTCGCCATCTTGAATATTGAACAATTTATGACAACAGCTCCCTCTCTGACTGTCAATCAAAGAACGTCACATGCCTTATAAGGATAGAAAGGCGGTGTAGTATTGCCATATAGGGAAATATTGCCCCCGTATAAGGAAGTACAAGGAAACTTTTTAGTACCGATTTCCAGAAAGTTACTTTTTACGGTCAAAGCGGTGGACCGTGAATAAACTGATCTGAACGTGAATTGTTACTTTTACCCAAAAGCAGCATTTATACTATTTTGTTGGCATTGTTTCTGGGTCACAAAATAGGGATTTCTTTCTAACCCAGTTGGAATTTATTTCAATCGTCCAAATAACCACGAAAGGGAGAAAATTCACCTGAACTTTAACTTAGGAACTGAAGCCAGCATGAGCGCATCATGGAATAACAAAAAAGTTTTGAGTACGCAATGTGCGTTTTTTGGTTGAGAACCTTCATTGATATTTAGTTTCATTGTAAGATTATTGAGGAAAATTTGTTTTGAACGAAAGAACATTTGATCTCTCTGTACTCTATCCAGCCAAAAAAGAAGTTTTCGTTCTTGCCATCAATGCGAGTAGAAAGAAAAGAAAAGACTTTAGCAATGATAAGCACGGTGACAAAATATTCCATGTGCAAAAAACAAAAACTGGAACTCAGTTCTGTGCTATTTATACGACGTAGGAAAACAGTAGTGGTAGGGTAGAAAATATGGATTCATTAAACTTGAAAATGATAATAATTGGGGTGCCCCGTTGAATAAGCAGAGTCGAATCATAGTGTTTTTTTGACAGTTTGCATCCCCAAAAGAGGTCTAAAAGTCTTTTTAATGCAACAATTTGCATCAGTTGTGATGGTATAAATACAAGATTGATACAAAGACACTGCATGCATTGGTGTAGGCGGAATTTATTTCACCGCGGTCTATCATGCATCGTCTGCGTCTTCATCCTTCATCCGGACTTTCACCGTTACAACTTTTGATGCATCTGAAACAGCTAGTGGAAATGCATTAAGCTAAAGGATCTACTCTTTAGGACAGGCCCCAAGGCAGTTGCAGCTTGCGAAGCTGTGATTCTTTGGGGGAAATAGACGTTTTCCTGTATTCGCCATAAAAAGAACCCTGTGCGGAATCACCCCCTCCCTCAACTTTTTTTTTAAAATGCCGCACTGCATTTTTTTTTAGGACTTGAGCCTTAAGGAGTTTTCAGAGAAACTCTTTGCACCCATTTTGGCACCAATTTTGCAAAAATCTAACAACTGTTCTTGTGCAGAGCACATTTCCGAGACGTGTCGCTCAAAAATGTGTATATATATAAATATTCCACTGCGATGCTCAATGCAAGCGGGCTGGATGCACGTAGCCTTGAACTTCAAATGACAGTAACAACAAAACCATTCATTTAATTAAGTTCAAACCTCACATTTGTAATGAAAAGGAGTTTCTTTACATGCGTACAAAGTTTAAAAAAATTAAGGATGGCACAGCCAAGTTCTTAGGGGTGAAATCCAGTGTGAGATGGCCAAAAATAACCCGGATCTAGCATCGCCAGTTTTTTCTTAATCCCCTGATTTTAATTGAGTTGCTTGCTCAATAACAGTCACATTTTGCTCCAGAATATCTAACTAAACGCTACAAACTCAAAGAACGAAATATGTTTTATTTAATGCAAGCATGGGTGCAGGAATACGCAGAGTATACAAGCGTTTTCATGTCACAGACAAACTCAACTAGAGACACTTCCCAAATACAAGCCGACAACGGCGCTCCATTACAGCGCCCTCTGCGCCATGCTCGGAAGTATGGTGTACTGTTACGACCACGTTTCGCACCACGGCGAGCCTTGCTTGGAAGCGTACTTCAGTGTTGTTTCGCAGCTCCAGTAGTGTATGTGCCAAAAAAGTCCCGTCATTCTCTCAGAATTTTCCCGCTTCATTCAAGGTCAGCTTTCGTACAGAAAGAAAAAGAGTCATGATCCACATCCACTTGGTTCAGAGCCGTTTATTCCATATCACTCGAAAAAGAACGTAAATCCAACTGATGAAATCGTGAGGCGCAACTCAAGCGAGCACCTTTGTTGAACCAAACAATCAGATTTCCAGAGTACCACAATTTGTATGTGAAAACTATTAATCATCGGTAAATTAAGAAAAGCCTTTGACGGGATTTAGGCTGTGATTATAAAGAAAATCATATCTCCTTTGGGGTCCAACACAAAGGAGGTGTGACAATAGCCTGGCTCGATTTCTGGACACAAAATTGTGCTAATTGCAGTGTAAATGTAAGCACTGGTGTTACGCGAGGCCTTTTGGTGTCCGAACGAAAGTTGCTTTTATAATTTCTTTCTCTGAAAGGCATCATATAAGCTTCCTCTCTCAGCGTGAAATCACCAGTGTTTGAGAAAAATATGAGGAAGTCACAGATAACCAATAAATCATTTGAAAGAAAAGAGAAGGCACTCCGAATGCGGGCAAACAACTACTGGGCAGAGATGGTGCAGTTAATGAGCAAATTAAATAACATAAAATGTAGTGCAAGCTCTAGAGCAAAAATAATTCATCTCTACAGCGTTAGGAATAAATAATGTTATTGCCATATATCACAAGATATAATAATTAACAACAACAGTCAGAGACCCTGATCTAAAAGAGGGAACAAAAATTAACATAGCCATCACCAATTTAATTTACATGGTTCCTTCTTCAATTGTAAAAATTGCATAGGACTCCACACTGTTCTATCCAATACAACGCCTTCTAAATATGAACTCGTGTAACTCCCTGCTACGGCTTTAGTAACACATATTTTTATGATCTGTCAAATAAAAAGACTTCTACATTTTACACAAATTAATGTACGAAAATTTGCAGTGAGCAATAAAAATATATACATAATTTGTTGCACTTAGGTTCTCACAGAAATACGGGTGATTCACTACAGTGCGCCCCCAAGAGTTTGCAACGCATTGGCCAATCACAACGCGTAAAATTTGTCGACCCGTTGCAAACGTGCATTTGGTCAACAGATTTTGCGAGTTGTGATTGGTCAACGCGTTGCAAACTCTTGGGGGCGCAATATTGTAAACGCCTGTATTAAACATGTACACAAAGCAGATTCAGCTACACAATGTGGAGTTTACAAATGCAAACATTTCGAAGCACATTCAAGTCACGAAAGAAAGCATATGATAATTTCCGCACGCTTGAAAGAATGGAAAAAATAAAGTCCAAAAAAAAAACACCGCTGCAGTAACATGCTACGTCATTTATTAATATTCAATTTATAAAAATTCAGTACTGTTAATTTTGTCTTGAAGCTAATGTCTACCCTACTACAAACTAGTTTTACATAAATATGGATTTTTATGGCAGAAAAGTAATGCACTTCATCTGAAGCAAAATTAATATGTGACAAAAACACTAGAAAATGGAGGATTATGATGTGGTTGCAGTTACATGAATGTTGTTTGACATTTGTAAATACATGATAATTTTTCACTTGGGCTGGTGCTTTCTCCATTTCCTTTGTGTGGATATAGCAACAGGGTTGGCAATCTGACCACACAGCATCAAATCCTTACAAATGCTAGAAGTAACTGGAACTGATTACTGAAAAGCTAAACATTCTTGCAAAGTTGCAGAGTATCCAAAAAGTAATCTTAATCCTTCATTTATTTCTGTCCGGTGACAGAGGCGAACATTATTGGTAACTGTAAATTGATTGTTGATCAATTCAAAACCTCATTCCTCACTGGTATAAGTAACTGCTAGCTTGATCAGTGGGTCACATCACTAATGCAAAAAGATTTCATGAATGTGACCAAAAATGAAAAAGAAAATTGTTTATTTCTATACAGTTCCTTTTTTTCATCAGGTTTTTGATAACATGCATTCTAATACAAGCAAAACATCAAAATAACGTCAATTAAGACCTGTAAATCGACAATTGAAAATATATGACTAATGTACCGTTTCTTAAGCTCTTAAATACATCAAAACCTAACATCAAAACTGGAAGACATAGATTTCAATAGCTTTGTTAGTTTGAAGGTTTTTGGACTGACCTCATAAGGTGGACATCTTTACCATAACCTGAAGGCCAGACAATTTAACCCCTATCGGGCTGGCCCTATGACATCACGGGTACCAGCCTATATGTTGGCACTGATGTACAAATAAACAAGGCCCTTTGTTAAATATCACACTATGCAAACACACTCTCTAAATTTACTCGTATGTCATAGCATTGCTTTTTATATCATACACTTTGCACGCCCATGTGCCAAGTTCAACATAGAATATGCGTCAAATTGTCTTTATCCACCCCAAGACACTGGGTGGTGCACTACAAAAAGCCTTGCAGAAGCGTGCTACAAAGAACCACAGAAAACTGCCCAGCACTTTGCTCACTGTGACTGTGACCTAAGGTAAGATGGCCGTAGCCTCCTTAAGGTGTATTACATACTCTGAACTAGTCTCTACTTCAAGTGAAATAAATGTCTACCTACACAAGAATAAGAGTTCACTGCATACGTCAAACACATTCAGCGTCGGTGATGATTAGTTATTCTTACTTTCAAACTAGTATTGCAGAGTTTACATTGAATGCAAATATACCACAAATATGACTAACAGTCCTTTTTAATATTACTACTGAACAAAGAAAAAAATGCCATTTTTGAACACAAAATTAAGCATAATGCCACTTTTTCATTCAATTGAACCCAAATCCCCAATTCTTCCCGAACAACCCACTTTTTAAACATTCTGAAAAGAGATAAGGGACGTGTGGCATGCTTTGGCTCACATCCAGTGATGTCACATAGAAACAGAAGAAAACTGACCTGTTTACCATTTTTTGTCAAGATCCAAGCTAAAAAGTGCAACCATCTAGTATGAATATATGAAATTTTAGAGACAAAATGGAACAATTCGGTGATGGGAGATTCAAAATTCCTGTTAAGTGTTAGTGTGTTCTTTATAATGCCAAAAATTCTATCGGAAATGTAGCTGCGTAACCCTCCATGCTCATTACAAATATGGGCTCAATTTTAAAGAGCTGCCAAACAATAATATTGCTAAGCAAATTTAAGTGCTAAGCAAACATTGGCCGGGAAGCAGTCGCAAGAGGGATATATAAGTCTGGCTGGCAACCCACTTTGGCTGAGTGAATACCTTCTGGGCTTAGCCGCTCTCTGAGATCGGCCCATGGATTGGATTGGCACCAGTTATGCAAACACTGACACGGTGCCATTGGGCCCATCCATAGGGAATCTGTGTCCAATGTTTCGTCGATCCCACAATGCAGTGCTGCATGCATCTTAAATAACACACTTTCTCAGTCCACAAAAGGGTCCAATAAGTTCTGGCTGCGGCTAGCGATAGCAAAAATGTGTCTTTGAGAAGTGGAGGTAGCTGCTAGCCAATGTTCTATTTGCACAGCCAATACTTTTGAATACAGCCCATGCTTGCCACAGCCATTGCCTCACAGGCCGAGTCTAGATGGTCTGTTCTGGACTAAAGTATCTCGGTCTTAGAGGGCCCATGCATGTGTATACCTGTATCAACTCCTCAAGAAGTACCCCCCCAGCTGGTGAAAGATAGGAAGACCGGGGGGTCAATGGGTGAAACGTAATGAAACCACTGGTACCATGCACTTGACACCAGTTAAAATACAATTCAATCAACCAGGACAACGCACATTGTTCATTAGTGAGGGAAATGTCATGACGATCAAGAACAGGCATGATCAGAGAATATACGTCCCCCAGAACAGTCTTGTCGTTGAGCCCATTACAAGTCCTTTTAACAAGTCCAGTCACAAATCTGTTCATAAGACTGGTTACAAGGAACGAGGTGAACGAACGACAAAAGAATACCTTCTGTCGCAGATCGTCTGAACAGCTTGTGACTGGATGACTTGGGATGGACTTGGCTACAACGCTGCGCCAAAAACCTGGCCGACAACAATCACAATGTCAAACACAATGACTGTAATGCTTCACGGCGACTGTGTTTGATAAAGAACTCCGGCGTGGAGGATAACACAGCATTTTTCTCAAAAAGCCCTGGACTAAGATTTCGTTTGTGAGCAACAATCCCTTTCGATGTGCAAAACAGACCGCCAAAACTCAGCCGTAGCAGTCGCAATAGTTCGCGGTAATGCGCATGAAGAATTGCAAGCAACTACGGACTGGCTGTCCTTTTGCCATAACTGGCCATAAATCTGTATCGCCTTCATCAAACCGTCTTGACAAATTTTCCACTGTCTGTTAGCACATTAGGCTGGGTCCACTTCCTAAACCCTCGCACACTACTAGTTGTATCCCGATTATCAGTTTGAGAGACGTAGGGAAACAGAACCAAGATCAAATTGTGAAGACTCTTTATATCGTAATGCCATGAAATCCACGGATGTCATAAAAACCCTGGACTCTAAGTGCTCGTTTAGACTGAAGCCACGCTCGTTTAGACTGAAGCCACCGGTGGCCATCTTGCCATGCTAATCACAGAGGTGATTACAGACTTGTCCATCATTGTAACAACTGTAGTTCAAAACAATTAGGTTAACAGTGAAGAAACTCTGTATCAGTAATCCGGTCTGTAAGTGGCTTCGTCATACACGCGCATGCACCACGAATTATACACTACAATTGCATGAATAGACAAGTTGCGCGTTAACTTCCAGTTCCATGGTTCCATGTAACTCTATGTGCAGTGGGCGTGGTTTAAACTACAGTGACGTCACACTTGCTAACTGGATAGGCCTCTGGTGACTTCAGTGACCTCTGTGTGCTGATCGAGGGCAATGTGAGTCCAGACTTTTTCATACGACGCCTGTGATGAAATCATGAAGTTGAAGCCAAGGGTTTCCAAAATGTTGGTTTTTCACTACAAACTTAATCCTTAAACACTGCATACTACTTTTTGGCATTCTCGTTACTCGCCAATTACTGTTGTCTCTTGTCCTGTTGTGACGTCTTTCTCTTGCTTTCCTGTGAGGTCTCCCATCCTACGGAGCGTGCATTTTGCAGTACGGTTGCCCTCGATCGGCGTAGAAGGCCTGGCCCTCTAGTGGAACTCCGCACGACTGCGATAAAAAATACCAAACAGTTTCATTCAGCTAAGATGTGCAAGGTGGAGGGGTGTTCATGGGTAGTTGACATGGCGTGGATACTTTGGGAATCACTTCTTACAGTGCACCAATGATTGGCCCTTTCTGTACACGTTACTGGTTTTCATAGGTTTTGTGGGGAATTGTTGGGAAATACACTAGGCCCTGTTCGTGCCTGAGAAGTGTGAAGAAGTCTGATCAAGCTCCCAGTTTTAAAAACGTTTTAGTGAGAGAACTCTACAAAGCCCTTATATCATGCAAAAGGTAATCTAAAGGGGTGAGCTATGTAACCGCAAAAATATGAGATCCGAATCCGAATCCCAACTTGTCATCACTTTTCTCAAGTCTCTCTTCATAGGAAACTGTCCACTGAGACATTATGAGCCCCAAGCTGGAACAACAGAGTGCATAATTTCCTAGCAATGCAGGCTCCTTTGGTCAGAGCTGCACTTCGCTAGTTCACAAGCGACTATGAAATGCACATGCTACGGTAGCATCGCTTCCAACAAAATGACCACTCCCGACCAACACGGCTCTTGTCAACTGATGAGGGGCTGCTTCTGCGCAAGGTGGTCACAGCTCTTTAACCCTTACCACCCAGGGTGTATGTAAAATCGTTTTGAAATTGGAGGATTTGGGACTGTTAGGGTTAATGTAAGTGATTCAAAATTAACATGCACGGTGCGAGTATTTTTCCTTTTCCAGCCTCTTTCCCGTTTTCTTGCCCTCTGGGGATCCCCTGTGCTTTTCCTTTTTTTAAACCACTTGATGATATCTTTATTCCACATTGAACTTCCCCAGTGTGGTATTACTTTATGCTGAAAATACCGACTTTAAAAAAACGACATTGCCACAGCCGCAGTCCTTTACAAGTTTGTCGAGTACAAATACTTAGCCTCGATGGATGTTTGCTCAAGATTTGCATGACAATTCTTATTCATTTTTGCTTTCTTTGATACTCTGGGACAATGTCAAGGAGAAGTTTTAGCTACAATGCTCAGCCTCGGCCCCCCACACCCCTCCACACACACACCCAAGTGGGTATTTGCCTGCAACTGGGGACCCCCTATTGTTCCTGTTTTGTTTGCACTTTAACTTTTTTAGAAGACCTCCCATATGTTTTGTACACAGTTGTCAATCGGGGACCCTCTGTCAGTCGGGGACCTTATTGTCCTCTATTGTTCAGGGTCCCCAATTGAATGCAGAAACAAACTCACATACACATACTCAACCCAGGGCTGTGCACAGAGAGAGTAGCGCCAACTTCAGACTTTGGAACCAACATGGATGTTCATTACGTGTTCAGTACAGCATGCGGCTATAGTGCGGTGATTGCCATTTTGGTTCCAACAATAAGCCACTTGCGAGTTAAATTTGAATAAAATCTGGTACACAGAGTTATCTGATTGCACATAAACATAACAGTTTGAATTCACCAGACTAAAGACACTGTTGCTATACCCCGTGATTCAGGGCAAGCTTTCGCATAAGGACCACCATCTCTGGAATGGACTGGTTCCTTTGTGCCCTACTTATCCATAGAGAACAGTGTATTGTTGCAAGGCGTCTCTTATGTAACTAAGCAAAAGCTTGCCCCGAATCACAAGGTACAGCAACAGTGGTTTTAGTATGGAGAATTCACGTTGTTACGTTTTATGTGAATTTAAAGAACTCAGTGTACCAGATTTGGGTCAAAGTTTACTCGCAAATGGCTTATTGAGACACCCACGTCGCAACTCTTTCTAGAACAGTTCTAATACAACCTCTTAAGGCTGGTTTGGGCCTGTGCAGGTGTACAAACTCATGAGGAATCACTCAAGCGTTACAAAACAGGAAATCCTGATGCGCTCAATACAACATCATCCGACGCGAAGGAGGTTGAAAGCCTTACCGGCTTGGAGCAAGTGAAGCAGTTGGAATGCCACTGCTTCTGCAGGGCCTCAACCCAGGCGTCGCCGGGCTCCACGGGGTAGTTGCAAGAGGCACAGCGGACAGAGAACAAGGCCTGGTAGTCTGCAGAGGGGAAAGAAAAGTGGACACGGGATCAGACTGGGGGAGGCTTGTTTAAATTGGGGTAGTTACAGGCAGCAAAGGGAACAGGGAGCGTGGCCTGGAAGTCTGTTGATGGGAAAAGGAAATGCAAAGAAAATAATGAGAAGAGGATTCCTTGCTCAAGGAGCCAATTTGGATTTTCCAAAAGACAAGGTCATTTAAGAATAGAGCACTTGACAGGGCTTGTGAAAGGACCTCTGTCTTGTGACTGGACTTGTGACTGTCCTTGTGACTGGTCTTGTAATGGACTCAACTAAGGCCACGCCGAATGATGGAATTTACCACCAAACAGTGCGGTGTCACAAACCACTGACTGCAGATTGTCAAACTCTACACCAACAGGAATCCCTTAAGAACCCTGAAGTCTAAGTGATTCAGTTTTACCTCTCTTGCAGTACGGCTTTCCCTCACTGATGTGGAAAGAGGTGCCAGTGATGGGTTGCTTGCAGTGGTGACAGACAAAGCAGTCTGAGTGGTACTGGTTGCCCATGGCCTGGACACAACCCTGAAGGGGGGAGCAACAGACGATGATGGGAGAACATGAAGAACAACTGGAGACATACGTGACTTGGTACAAACCCTGAATTTTGTATGGAGATGAGCCCCTTTGGGGCACCACTCGTCTGTGCGCGCCACAGTTTGCAGAAGCAGGTGAGCAGAAAATTCCAAGGGTGGAATGGCCACCTGCGATGTTGGTAGATGCTGTAATAGTTTGAGCAGATACTGTCCTCTTCCCCAGGGCAAAAAAGGGCCAGATTTTTATCACAGATTCGCTTCATAACTGCATATTTTTAATTGCCTCATAACTGCATCTTTTTAACGTCACCAATGGACACCAGGCTGAATTGTTTTTTTTTACCCCTTGGGAGATGGGCCTGCTGCAGATGGCGCATCTGGGCGCGTACAGGCTGTTGAAGTCCTTCTCACAGTAGACCTTGCCGTTCTGCTCCACGAAGCCCTGGGTGGATAGGTTCTCGTGGCAGTGAGCGCAGACAAAGTGTTCGGGGTGCCAGTTGCGGCCCACGGCCGACACGAACGGACCTCTGAGAGAAAATACGGGTCACATGCATAACTCTAGTTTCTACCCTTGATATGAGGGTACGAGAGAGGCCCATTCTGTGAGTTTTTCTATACGTGAAGGCCAGGCCATACTCAGTGAGAATATGGCCTCACAAATTTGACATCACATACCACTTGTGGTGAAACTAGTAAAAAATGAAATGTGTACAACTGTTGTAATTATTTACTTTTATGATATTTACTATGTCATGACAAATTGGTTTTGACGTCTGCTTTCATGCCTTGTATGAACCAGTATCGTATGGAATTTGGACTGCAATGCCAATTGGTCTTTCTTTTTTGAAACCGACGCCCAGCCTCCAATGTCTATGTTAGAGCTGTTTTGTGCAGTGAACCAGTGCAAAGAACAGTCAGCAACCACATGTCAGTTCACACAGTCGTTTGTGAAAATAGGAAGCAAGTTTGTGGAACAAAAAATCAGGTCCTAACTAGGTACCTCACTTATTAACCTCATTTCCAATTTTGGTTTGCCGATTTTAATCTTTACTTTGGAGTCTTAAGCTTTTGGTTTTTATGCTAATGCAAACTTGCGCGTTCATGAGCAAAACTGTGATGCCATCCCTGGTACTGAACCTCAATGTCGCGTTGATTTGTGCACACAAAAAAAAAAAACAGTTGGAAATTTGCTCTCATAACTTTCATTTTATATTTTAGAATCCAAAATCCATTAAAATCCATTGGAGGAGAGTGTAAAGGCATAAAAAAGAAAGTAAAAAATGGATCCTTTCAAGTCATAAACTGATGTGGTCACATTTTAAGGGTTGAGTGAACTCACCTGATCATGCTGTCACAGCCGTCACACATCGGGGTGCGTCCTGCCGCGCCCGCGGCCCCACCCCCGGCTGCTGCTGCCGGGGCAGCATGCTGCTGCTGCGGAGGCTTCGTCGTCGGGGCAGGCCGAGGGCTGGATTTGGCGTAGGAAGGTGCGGGCGGTGGGCCTTCATTCAGGTCAGGAGAGAGAGAAATGGAAGAGTGAGAAACGTGTACATCAAATAAACAGCAAAGGAAAATTCAGCAGAGGATCTTTTGTCATTAACTTCAAGTTGAATGAACAAAGTGACCAAGGGACTTTTGAGCCTGCAACCTCCATGGGGCCATGATGAATATGGGTGATTCACAATAGTGCGCCTTCAAACAGGCATCGGGTCAACAGATTTCATGCATTGTGATTGGCCAACGCGTTGCAAACTCTTGGAGGCGCACTTTTGTGAACTGCCCGTATTGAAATACACATCATATTGAGTTGATGCCAAATTACCCTTTCTATCATTGACAAAGTACTCTTACATTCACTGCCATTATTTTCAGTAAGGCATCTGGCCATGTGGCATGATAGTTTCAACACCTTGGATCCCTGACTATTCCAAATACAAGGACCCTGACCAGATCTTGTGTCGACAGGCAGGTCCAGGTTAAGTACACATGCTGGCAACAGATGCTGTCAAATCGCTGTAATGCTCTGGAAGCAACTTTCACGAGTGACCTGATATTTGCCTCTTTCACAAATCGGCCATCCATTTCCAAACCTATACATTGGAAAGCAGATTATGCAATACAGACATATACCGACCTCATTAAAAATATCATTTGATGCTTTTGGGCTCGACTAGTAAATACTTCTGAAAGCAAAGACAAGCTCTGTGCAGTCTCTGTAAAAACAGTCTGGCACCCTCGCATTCGAGAGTGTACAAGAAAGGTAACTGGCATAATCTAAGATGAACATCATTTAATGAGGACTGTATCATTGGATGATTGCCAGCAAAGAGCCAAAATAGTTCCGCTGCTAGATTGCCGAGTACGGCATTCTGGTGGTTGGCATCCAGATTCGGTCATTTTTCTCTGGTCAATATTGACGATGCAAAACAGTGGAAGTTTTCCAGGTTCACTAAAAGGACAGACTAGAACGCCTACGCTGTAAAAGTGTCAGACTGTCAGGGGGCAGGAAATGACGCATGGCTCTCAATGATTTACTCATTCTACAAGTGCTGCACAAACGCGAGCGGATTAAATGCAGATTACAGGAACGACGACGCTACCTTCTCTTCTTGTGCTCTGTGTCTAACAAGTTTTCTGAGATCGAGTACCCGGTCTTCTGTCAGCAAGAGGTTGTTTAAAGGGCAGGGGAGTTGTTTATGGGGAACTTAGGAAGTCAGCATGTTATCATGCGTAATTGCAGTATGTTCTAATTGGGGAAGTGCATTTTTTTGTGCTGTGGGTGACACGCAGAGTAGAATTCGTAAGTTTGCAAGTTAGCCTAAACTCTCATTCTGCATTATCTGTCAACATAAATGTACACGCAAAACTTTCATCAATCCAAAAAAGGTTACATGGAACCTCTGTCATCCAAGTTTTGGCCAACATTCAACTGTGAGTGATAAGCTAAATCCTAGTTATCTTCCCTGAGCGGGACCAAGAGAGGGCGCAGTTTTCCTGACAATGGAGGTTCTTTTAGTGGGAACTGCACTTTGCTGGTTCACGAATGACTATGACATGTAAGTGCTACAGTTGCATTGCTACCTACACAATGAACACTCCCCACCACCAGGGCTCTTTTTGACTGATGAGGAGATGCTTCTAGAGGCCAACTGGCACAGATTTGTACACCTATTTCTTAAGGATATAAAACAGAAACTAGATGCGAAGTCCTTGGATGTCAACTCCTGCCCCTTTAGAGGGAGTAGTTTCCATGGTAACCAAAGTAATGGAAACCGACAAAATTCTACTTTTTTTCAGGATGCGCAAAAGTTGGCCGAATACCACATCTGACGCTGTGAGCATTTACTGAGAGTATCCAGTACCTTGTTGACCTAATGACCTCTGGGTTGGTAGGATAGGCAAAGCTGACAGCAATCGATACAAAATTTTTTTAGGAAACTTTGCAGAAGTTGACTATCACTCCCTTGCAATAAAAGGTCACACAAACAGAAAGCTCTGGGAACACAACCAACCTCCCATGTTTAGATTTACCTATCACAACACGTGTTAAAGGTACATTTCATAAGGCTTTAAGTAAAAAATTGGCCACTGAAGAGTGCGCTAAATGCCCTCTTGCAGAGAGCGTACATTCACACAAGCCAATTTCATTCTTCACTGAACTTCACAACATATATTGTGAACGAAGTTGTTCAGCCATCATTTAGTTTGCTGTGATCAGAGAGCCCCAAAGTTTTCAACATTTTTCTTGGGCGTACAAAGTGTACGGAGGGGGGAGGGGTCATAGTTGAGAACTTTGGATGACCCCTATATGCTTGCCTAAGGAAATGATGTAAGGGAAACCTTGAAGTGATGTGGTACTTTGACACCTGACCGAACTTGATCGGACCTTATAATTGGAGCTGAGTTGAGCCAGAGGTTTGGACTAAGGGGGACTAAACTTACAAACCCTGGAGCCTAAAGATGAAGGTTGACACAAAGCTGCAATCTGTACAATCTCCTGACCTTTAGCAACAGCGGCGGAAAAATTTTCATAGTGCAGGGGCCAGTTTTGAGACCATCAGGCAGGGGTCGAAATGAACGGTGGTCTGCTGGCCCGGGGCCAGTAGAAAAGTCAGCGGACCAACTGATCTAATAAAACTGGTGGTCCGGTGGGCCAGCACAAAATGTACTTGACAAATCTACTAAAATATTGAAGGACTGAAACAAAAGATCTGTGTACATATTACCCGAATGAGTGCTGTGGTGGATCCGGTTACATTTTCGCATGCTGAGTGTACCTCGCTGCGCAACATAAGAGTAAGAACCATCCAAATTGTAGTTTTGCCACGTGTGCCCACCACGCGCTGGGCTAATGGCTTTGGTTTCACTGGTCCCAGCCATTTTGAAAGCAGCGTTCAAAACCACATGTTCCAGACCAGACCTGATTGGAACCAGCAAAACAGAAGCCTTAGTCTAAGCCTAATCCACTCGTTTTGTAAACGCCCCTAGTCTTGACTGCAAGAAGTTTCCAGTATATCAACATGTAGGCTTCCTAACAAGGATTGCTCAATGCAGCTGCGTGTGCTGTTCTGGACCACCAAACTCTCAGCACGACCAGTGGAAATTTTGAAGTACTAGTCCTGCTGGCTACCAGCAAGAAAAGGTTAATTTTGAGCCTTGATTGGGCATCAGCCATTAATAGACCGATGCTCAAGTCTCACCCCATTATAGGACCTGCAAACAGTGGAGGGGTGTGCTCCCCCATCGAAAGAGTGGGGAAGGGGAGCCAATAGCCCCCCCCTGCTTCTGCTGCCCGTTTCCCTTAGGCTGTCTTACCCGGGGCTCTTGGTGGTTGACTCATGACGCGAGGGGTCGGGTTGCTACGGGCTTGGCTGGCGATCTGACTTGGTGTCGGTTTGCTATGGAAGAAGACAAGGGGACCAGGGATGAGGGAAAACAAAGAAAATTATTCAGCGGTTGCTCCGAAAATTAATGAACTGTCCACTGAAAAGTACTAAAAATTCATCCTTGAAAAATGCGTGAATGAAATGTAATATTTTTCTCCGAATCTCCCATGAAATCAATTAAGAGAGGTATCACTGGGCTGAAAAATAAAATCTTCACTTTGACTGCTGTATGCTGCTGTTTCAATTCATGTAATCTCAAGTACTATGTTGTTTGTTTCTGGGCATGAAATGGATGACAAACAAAGTATAACCTTTCTTTTATGCTCTGTAGAAGAAAAAACTGGGACAGGTTGAGGGTGAAATTTGTAACCTCAAAAAAAAAAAAAAAAATAAATAAATGCATATCTGCAAGTTACAATCAATTAATCTGAGAGGCTATTTCCGTATATGATTTTGAAAAAAAAAGGACATGTACCAATTTGTAACATAATACAACATGAGAACATTTCATGCCTGCTCAGAGAACTACTGGAATTCCCACAAAACGGTTTCAAGAAAAGAAAACAAAGAACTACAACACTTTTGAGACAACAAAGAACCCCAATACGTAAAAAAAAAAAATTTATATGCTGCCGCTGGTTGTTTAAAATGGATTTATAATTGAAACAGAGGATGCAATATTCAACTAAACAAATCGAGGTACTGACGTGTTGCAAAGGTACACAGTGGATAGCTATTGAGTTGAATGTGGCATGTGTGATTAAGTTTGCTTGGATGAAATGTGATATTGGATCTTTAAAAAACATGAAATTGTGTGTTTTCTACACTTCGCTCGGAAAGTGAGTAGGTGCTTTTAACATAGCTGACAGAATCTCATTTGAGAAGTCAGTGTCAAGCTACAAGTACTGTCTTAAATTGAGGTTAGTAAAAAAAAAGCGTAAAAAATGGGGAAATAATACACAGAACCTATCTCTAAAACCAAGAAGTAAATATTTACTGACTTTCTAGAATAAACTCTGCCACGGTTTCAAAATGTTCCTCGCCTGAAACTAAATCTCAGCTTGATCTTTAGAGGCCAAAATAAAGAGAGAAAAAAAAGCAAGAAATAAATGAGGAAAAGAAACAGGAAAAAGCCAGAATAAAAAAAGAGACCCTATTCAACAGATTCTGATGCTGAAATTTAGAATATTCGGCTCACTCGACAGGGTAAGCCTGATTCATTTCATAGGGTTAGGAACGAAAAATACATCTATGTGGGCTGAATAACCAAAATTTTGCAGGCTGTTGATGGCTTGAGACTTGCTGTGCTTTATATGGTCTTAATGCTAGACATAGAAATAATGCAAAATACATGAATGAACATGCAGGCTTTTAGATAGCTAGTCTACAAACTACAAAATCAGAAAAAATTGTGATGGGCACAATGTGCATGTAGGTATGCGATTAGTTGCTGCTCCCAATAAATACAACCTGTACATTTTCACTGCGCTTAGATTTGCTGTTTTCAGTGTAATCCCATTCTCTTCTCCACTGGCTGCTCTTCGCGTTCACTCTTTCGACTTGTCTTTGAAATTGCAGTATGATTTATAAACAAAGAAAGGAGTTGTTAGGATTTAGAAAACTGCATGCCGCAAAAGTCTGCCCTTTTCAGTATTTGCAGCAGAAACTCAACAGTCTTGGCACAAGAAATGAGACACATGAGTTCACTACTTCTACTCACAAAAACAAAATGGCACTGACACTAAATTGGGAACAAAAGACTAGCTATTTGAAGGACAAGTATCATGTATGATATCATGTTATACTGAATCAATTACCCAGTGATATTACTAGGGAGAAACATCACTTTGACCCCGTCATCTGGAGCACTGGAGAAAAGAAGTGAGTGAGAAACAAACACACACTGAAATTGTAATTCAATAAAGGGGTTTAGAAAAAAAGTCAGTCAAATCCATGGCAATGCAGGGAATGGAATAAAATGTGGGTGAGGGGCGAGTTGGGGTGGGGGGTGGGGATGGAAGGGGGTGGGGATGGGGGGGGTGGATGGAGAATGGGGGAGAGGAAAATTGGATCTGATTTTTCAGCCCCTGAATGTGTAGTTTTCTTGCTGATCTTTAACGAAAGTTATGTTGGTTACAATGCAAATGTCGTGGTCATTTGTGTTTAGTGCCTCAAAATTCGAAATTCAGCCAAAACTGCACCAAATGGAAGTTACTAGAAATCTGTGCTTTCAAAATGACAGGAATTTCACCAGTTCTTTTGAACCGCTTCTGAAAGTTTTGAATTTGATTAAGGCAAAAGTGGACAAGTAAATCACAGAAACAAGCTTATTTATTTGCTGGTGGTTAGAAGTCTGAGCAGCAGCCATAACATTATTTTGCTTGCTTTGCAAGCTTCAGGAGATGAATTCAAATTGCTGCTGAAATACGACTTCTGAGCAGATCCACGGCCCATGGATGGGGATCACGTACATGCTGCACATGTAACTTTGACATATCTGAACAACAAGGCAAGCTTAAGGGGCAGTCAGGTTCAACGATTCATCTGGAGGCCAACTTTCCAATCCAACACGACCAGGTACTCGTGTTTTGGGCGAGGTTAGGAGTTAGCCAGAAGAAAAAAGAAAATTGTGACGGAGGATGACATGAGACGGTGAAGGGTTTGGGGGCACACAGGAGAGGAAAATGAGAAAACAAGTGATTAATGCCACTGCCAAGAGAGCCGAGAGTTGGGTAAAGCACGAATTTAGTTCACATGGTCTAAAATATTTTATTTTCCCTGGCATGATCACTAACTATGGCCAAAACTAGTGAGCTTTATACTGCCACAATTTGATGACTCTGATCTGGAAACTTTTCGACAAAGTTTTCGGCAGTGGAAAAATGAACCAACTTTCTTTCAAAGAGGACAACCATTGGCAATGACGGGAAAAAGCAGATGCATGTACAACATTTCAAATAAAATCAGGTGAGATCAAATTCAGTAAAGTGGATTAAAAATTACAGTGACAAATTGCCATTCAGAGAGAGGAAAGTGTTAGTCAAATGTACAAAGCGGAATAGTTAGAGAAATGAGGTCATAACTAGTTTAAAAACGAGCAGTATGTTCAGACACTGCGCTGAAATGATTTAAACTTCAACTGGTTGAGTTTGCAAAATGGAAAAGGACAGAAACAGTAAAAATGTAAGACCACACTGTTCCAAACGTAATAAAAAATGATTCTCTCCATTTTCCACCTGTTTGTTTAATTTCTCTGTGAGAATGGTCAATCTCTGTCAAATTGCAAACAGTATCGACTGGGGCGAGGTCACAAGTTGGCCAGACGGCTGTCTCACAGAATTGCTAACTGCACAAGCTGACAATTACGGGAAAAAGAAAAAAAGTGATGATATTTTCTGCTCACAATGCAAATTTTCTGAGCAATGTGGCCTGCTATGAATTCCACAGACCTGGGCGTGGTTTGTATAACAAGCAATGCACTGTCTGAACACAGGTCTAGTTGACACGTACACAAAGTTTAGTTTTCGCAATTTAACGCAATAATATCAACAGGACATCGGGCAATTATGTTTGGCAGAATTGATCAGTACTAGTTTCTCTGAAAGCAGCAAGGTGCATGTTAAATTTCCGCAATGGCTTTAACATTTGTGCCACAAACTGAACATGCAATGCCATTGTGTGGGTTACATATACGATGCGCACAAATCATGGATGTAAGACTGAACCCCACAAATCCCTTCATTCCTTATGAATACTCCCAAGTAATAAAAGCAGAAACCTAGAACAAAGAACTCCAACCAGCTTAGTTGATTAGACTCTAATGATGGAAAAGTACCCTACAGTAACCAGCAGAATCTACCGACAGTGATGTATGGAACCTGCAGAATCTACCAGAGACCTATGAAAGGGACGGTTAAACCTCCTTAAGTCTAACACAACCAAATGAGAGAAAAACAGCCTACAATAACCCACAGAATCCATTAGGTTGGCCGATCCAACAAAATCCACCATCGTTAAAATGCGGAATATGATGACAGCAAAGTATGAAGCCTTCTGATCAAACCGAATACAGTAACAGTGATTTAATGTCTGAAACCTAGTGAATCCTACAGTTTTCAAGACCAGCGGGATAAAACCTGCATAAACTAACAGAGTCCAACAGAATCCAAAAAAGGATTCAAAGGAATTTACCAATCACAGCACATACACCAGTAACGTGCTGTTTCCTCGTCATTTTGATCAACATAATCTAACAGAATTATGTCAATACATGGTGAACAGCAGTACCTTGCTAAATGGGAAAGGCTCTATACTGATGATGTACACTCTACAATGCCAAGTAATGCTGACATGAAAATAGCGCGGGTGATTAACGACTTGACACAAAAGGGAAAATGGTTAGCTAATGCAGTTATGGTTGAGGTATTAATGGTTATGTCTTTAATCACATCTAGCAATGTGTAACTTGTTAAGGAGCTCTGCATGATCGTGCAAAGACCCCTACCCCAACAAAAAATTGAAATGATTAAAAAAAAAGAAAGAAAGAAAAAAAAAACGAGATGAAAGGCCGGGAAAATCTGCTTGAAAAACCTTAAAATTGATTCCTTTCCAGTGTTGATGATTTACCATTCTGTAGCTGATGTGAACTATGTCCCTCCCACCATGGAAACTCCAACCCCTCCCCCCGAAAAAATCCTGTCCACGCCCATACTGTGGTGTGAAGCGAACATTTGAGTTGTTTGAGCACATTTATGTTCTTGAGGCTGACTGCCTTAATTTGGTGAAATCCACTGCCACTGATGAATTATGTTGAATGGACTGCCATTTGAAACAACAGGTGATGAATGTTCAAAGCTGAGGCATCCTTGCCAAGGAGAACACATGTACGTGTACATACAGATGACAAAAACTTCATGTACAGTTAGGTTACTGATATAGTAAATGAAATATTAATGTACGTGTGTATGAGGAAGCTTTGCCAATGGTGAACATGTGTTAAACGAAGCACAGATGTACATGTGAGTGGATACCAACAAAACAGACATCATCTTCCAATAAAACACATCCTGTGTAGGGTGTACAAAGAATGTTAAGTGAATGAAACAAGATGTACATGTATATACATACATGTAGCTTCTCAACAATTCCACATGTTCAAACTCTTGTAAACACACACACGATGGGATGAATACACCAGTGTGATTGTATGGGGATTTCTGTCATTACACATCTGATCTTCATTGAGAAAAGGAACAAGAAAAGTTTTAAGAAACAGACTGTCAATAGAGAGTTTGCATGGCTGCCATCTTGGGGGCCAGTGCTTTTGTTACGCAGGGTATGAACAGAGGAGGTTTCCCTGTTGAATAACAGAACTGCCCTGCAAGATGGCTACCAACACTATTTAAAGTCAGAATTTGTTAAATAAATCAAGGGCCGGCATCGATAGGGAAAGAGGGTACCTCATGCAGAAAGCCATTTAGCATGCTGACACTGTTACTGCCGGGAGACTTTAAACATATGTCCTTGAAGACCTTCCTAAATCCTTCAAAATCCACCATTTGGCTGGAACCAAGGGAAGTGTCTTTGTACTTCTGTTAACCCCTTGACGTCGGGACTTTTTTCTGAAAGCCGACTACGAGAATTCCAGCCTCACTTGACCATGAAGACCACCTGCCAAACCGCAAATTCTCGGTTTGTGGCCCTGCGTGCTCTGCAGCTTTGATTTACACAGTGAAAAGGCTCATTGTTCGGTGGCATGCGGCTCTACTCACGCTTCCACATTCCCGTTGCCTCTTTTCAAAATGGGGACTATTGTGAAGCTGGTGATTATGATGCAAATTTGGCCTTTTCATTTCTTGGCAACGCACAAAGGCCAATTACCATATATACAAGAGCCAGGGTATGCCTTCTTTCACCGCGTTCACTCAAGCGTGGGCCGAGAATAATAGCTAAAAAGTGGGCTGAGGGATCTCAATTTTTACAGCAGCTCTTACCGCTTCCCAGTGAGAAGGGGATAAGGGGCCATCATTAAACTGGTGGTGCCTTCCTCAATCCTGCCAAATCTTCCTAAACCTTTGAGTGGATTTTGTAGGATCTCGGGGTCAGAGTCAGACACGACAAAAGATACTCCGTATGTAAATATGTTTACCGAAACAAAATAGCATGTATTTGACAATCTTAAGTCTACAGAATCCCATGAGATTCTAAAGGATAATGTTCCAATGGGAGGAACCACATGGAAACCATTATTTGCTACTGTACCAAATTCCAACTTAAATACCACAAACTCTTCTATAGATGCTGCATATTGTTCCATGGGATCCAACAATTAATTTCTGTGATCCCACCAATCAGATCCCATGGATTTTACTTACAGTTGCCAGTTTAATATAACAGGTTATCTTAACCCTCACAAATCCAATCTGCCATATTCATAGTCTATTTCAGATCCTAGACTGGATAACCAGAGCCCATCATGGATGCCACGGAACGTTTTACTGGGTCTGTTTTTATTACAAGATATGTGTGGCCATTGAGACTATGATCCAACCAGCATGTCGAAGAAAACTGTAATTTTAATTTTACTTTTTAAAAAATACCATTGGAATGATCTAAGCTCATTGGATTAAATTTCTCCTTTTGCAGACTGAACAAAAGACACCGCCTGTATCTACCACAGAGGGGGATGGCCTCCGTGAACAGACGAAGCAAAAGGCAACGCCCACTAACCATTTACTGCAGTCCAATCAGATGGAGCAATAACAATATCAATAGCGACATGTGGTACACGTCTTTTAGTGTACTAAAATGAATCAACCCACATGGCTCAAAACAGCAACTGTTAAGTAGAATTTATTTGTATTAATGAAGCAGGCAGCCGTGTGCAGCCTCTTTGTTTTTCAGCCATGTAAAAATGTTACATACAAGTACATTGTACAACCATGCTAAAAATGAACAGACGCAATACCGTGCTGTACAAACTTTATTCAACATGTCTGACAGTGTTACGCACCCTCTACAATGCACATTATCAACAAACGATGGAAAGAATTGTGACATGTCACACTAAAATTACAGACTGATGTCAAAGGTCTATCTGCATGCTAAATAATGTACACACACGGAGGTACATGTGTGTGTCTGCAGGGAGTGCCAAGGTGACCAACCAGTGAGCAGTTTCCAGAAAGTCAAAACTGTACCAGCCAATCAGATGTGGCATACCACAAGGCCTTCATTACAACACTTAAGTTGTTTGTGATTAATTTACAACTGGAAATCATTGTTTCCGACATGCTTAAGGTTTATTTCTCCATCATGAAGATTTCCACGGTGCTTCCTCAATTGTTAAGGCCCGAGAATTTTGACATGGAGAGAACATTTTTCCACAGATTTCTCAGAAGTTGTGCGCTGCGACCCATTCCACACTCTCACAAAAAATCCGGAGAAACTGCTGGATACTGCTCCATTGCTCCTTGACAATCCTCACAGACATGGATTTATACACAAAGTGATGAATCTAGTGGATGGGTGAAGTTAACGAGTAATGGAGACATTCTCAGAGACAAAGAGCGACACCACGTCAAGCGGGCTAATAAACACCAAGGGGGACGAACATTCTGTTACCCTGGCTCCCGGGGGTATCTCTGGAGAGGGCTGGTGGGGCTTTCTGGCCCCATTTGGATTTCGTGTTTTACCGTTTTATCTACTGTGAAAATGGGCACGATACCCTGACATCTGTAGGGGAGGGATGAAAACATGAATATTCATGAGTGTTTATCACACAAAAAATGCATATCCATGAAGTTTTTACTATGGGAAAAGGCATATACAAATTTGAAAAGTAAGCCACAAGAGTGTTTAAAAAATGCAAATTTTCTAAGTTTTAAATTATTGAAAGTTCTGAACCAAGTTTGCAATGAATTTAAAAATCCTGAAGGAGCTACACGGAATTCGATGGCGATGAACGGCATTTTTGAGCAGTCAAAATAATCTCACTGTGAATGGAAGTTTTCATATTTTCATTTAATCAGCTTTCACCTTTGATCAGTCTTTGCTAATTCTAAACTCAGCTAATTTTTTACTGAGTTTTGATGCATTTCCCCTTTTTTCCCTTTTAATCTGACTTAACAACAGAAAATCTCTGAAACTCACTGACTTCCAGTCACACAGCTGACCGCAATCAGTTTTTTTTTACCCTTTTGCCAACAAGGGAATACACATCACAAATTCTTGGCGTCTTCGTGATGGGAAGTCTCTCTAGGATCTACGTGTGTACGAATGGATTGGGATCAACGTACGACTTGACTGCCTCTGGGTTCTTCATGAGGGCCTTGGCGATGACGACGTTGGGGTCTTCCCTCTGGGGCGCTTGGTACCTGGACTTGTAGGACGGTATCATGGCTGGCCTGAGGGGCGGTGACGTGACGACGGGAGACGGATGTGGGTGTCTGGGTCTTCAGACACACGGTGAGGTGGAGACAGGTTGGGTTATTAATGACCTTTTCTTTTTTTTTTTTCTTCTTCAGTAAATCGGCTGGCAGCAAGAATGTAGACAGTATTGAGATGCTAGGCAGTGGCGTTGTAGTCAAAAGCATCCCAAGACCATCATAAGACCTATCACGAGACCAGTCACAAGTAACTGGTCAAACATTGAATGCTTTTGTCGCAGGTCAGTTGAATAAATTGCAATTTGAATTGGGACTGGAGGTCTTGTGTTGGTCTTGTGATGGTCTTCAGGGGTCTCAACACAACGCTGCAAGGTTGAGGTGTATCCAGTTCTTGGGAGGGAAAAAAAATGCAAAATAGACTTTTCCAAAAACAACAGGCCAGATTTGTTTATCTGTGAAAGAGTCAACTCCCCCCTCAGAAAGGTGGTTACACCGATATGCTTCTAAAATACTGACGCATTAAATTCCTTAAAAAATGGCAACCATGTTTCCGGAAGAGGAAAACCCCGCCCCCCCAACTGGATATGCCCCTAATTCCAGAACAATCAATGCTTTGTTAAACTTATTTGAAGTAGAAAGTGGGGGGGCAGTTTCATAGGGCTTCTCTTTAAAGAGAAAACACTGCTTAGCTCATTTATCTGCTACCAGCGAAAAGCAGCTGGGAACCGGTCGCGATGAAAATACAAGTACAATGTATTTTGGCTGGTAACCCACCTTTGCTTGGCAAATTTTTAAATTTGATTGGTAAATCTCTGGGCTTTGTGAAACTGGACACAGGAGTTCGGGGGAAGGCCACGCCCCCATGGGAAAATTTTTTTTTCTGTAGTTACTAAATAAAAAGATGATGCCAAAGTAAACACTTGAACATGTGAATTTGACTTTCATGGCATTATCGTCGTCCTTCTGCTGGTACATGTACCTCGGTTAAGCCGACACTGGCATGTAATGTCAGATCTTCTCAGAACGGGTTTAGCTCACTGTTTAAATGTACGCTACAAATTCACCACTGATGTACTGTTTGACTGGTGTTGTAATATACGGTGCACCTTTGGGCCAATTTTATGGTTCTACGGTACTCGGAGATTTGCAGTAACGTTTCAGTACATGTACCTGCAGCAGAAATGCCTGCTGATTTCAAGCTTATTCAGTGGCCTAAGAAAGAATGAGGTTTTACACATTAATGGGGCATACAATATTAGTGACCATTAGACATGGTGCGGATGTGGGATACACATGTGACTTGGGAAAATTGGGTGGTTATATCGCCTTCTTGTGCAGTTATTTAAAAAACCTATGTGCGTAAACGTGAACATAGTGATCAATGTAAAAACAACATGGCTTTCATATACGCACACAAAGTCGTGATTCAACCAACCAGTTTATTTCCGAGCCTATGGATGTATCCCGTACACGTACTATTTCTAATGGTCCCCACCGTGTCGATACCAGACGCGACTTGTGTCTGTTAAAATCGAATGGCCTTTCTGAAGCCGTACGTACTGCTCCCTCTCTCTACACATTCAACACAAGAAGCACCAGCACAATTGGGCGGCAGAGTACCCTTGGGGGGCTGATTGATGCCCTGGACGGTCTGCAGAACATTCTCTCATAGCACGCACTACAATATTTCATAGACTGTTACACAGCACCATAAATATTGGCCCAGACCGTGTAAACCCAAATATCAAAAATAAAAACCAGCAATGTAAGCCTATTAGGAAAATATCCATGTGATAGCAAAGGTTGGCAAGTGACGTTATTGGTCAGATATATACCAGTATAGTGTCTTTTGATGTTATAAGAGAATGTATATATAATATCCATATTTGTTACCATAGAGCAATGTTCTGTAGGCTCAACAGAGGATAAGCTGTAAAGTTAAATGTAGAATGCTAAGCATAGGCGTTACAACGCTGCAGAAAACTTAACTCTGAAGTTACACCAGACTTACGTGAACTTTTAAAATGGAGCAGCTGATGAGGTTGCGTCTTCCGACCAGACAGGGCTCTCCCTCAGAGCAGGCAAAAAGGAGGAACCCTTCAGCGTGAACGAGTGAATGGCGGCAGGGCAACAGCGACTGCCCCTTAACGCCAGGGACCCAGGTCAACAAGACGAAGAGGGGGGAGGGAAAAAAAGGCATGCCAGAATTTTCTTGGGTGGCGTCACCGGTCGGGTTCTTCCATTCTGCTCTGAGGGGTGAGGGTCCCAACGACCACACCAAAACCCTTCACTAAAGGACTGTTGAAGAGGTCTTAATCTGATTTCTTCCAATTAACACACATATTGATCCATCCATCGTTTGATTACATTACTACACCCATTTGCCACAATAAACCCCCCCAAAAAAATTACCACAAATGCAGATCCAAAAATGTACAGAAATTGAGGACTTGGACTAGAACACTTTTTAATGAGGTGTACTTGTCATTTACTCAATTACCAATTATGAAAATAATCTGAAATAACATCTTCCAAACACGAAAACAATTAGGCATCTTACAACATTACCGGGCAGTCTCAATGCTTTTTTTTTTGGTCCTGTGAATTAAATATGCCATGCAAGCATTCCGTGCATTCCAAGCATGCATGATGGCTGCTTGGGCTTTTACATGCGAGGGACAAACACTGTATAGCTTGTGCTGACGAAGACTGAAATGATCTGAAACCGTTAGCCCTTTTTAGGTATTTTTGTGGGTGCTCTGGGAAGAAAAAAAAAAGGGAAAGGGGGAATTTTTCTCAGAGTCTGAAGCCATCAGAGGACGGACATGTATTTTGTACTGTATTTTGAGATTTCTCTCCAATCTGAAGAATTATGACTGCTTTTATGTAATTTTGTTTAAAGGGTTAAACTGCCATAAGTTTAGTTGTTCAACACTGATTAATTTTGGATTTTCCTTTCTTTTTTTGGGTTTGCCCTGCCCGATGTGTGTTATCACACAACACTGTAAACAAAACCCACAAGCATACTCGGAAATAGTTGTTCAACATTAATGAATATGAATTAGAAACAACTTCACTGACTACTCTGATATTTTCTTTACAATAGTAGATGCCTACACATTCGAGTCCTACACTTGAAACTGAACTTGCTTGAACCATGGCATTTGTCCAAAAAGAAATGATTTCTGCCTCAGCTTTCCTGACAATCCTCCAACAACCCTAGGCAGACTCAAAGTGCTAGGCTTATGCATTATAACCCTCCTGCTTGCTGTAAGGTTCAATCTCTTAAATGTTGAGGTTAAACGCTGTGTCGGGCATCTGCATGTATGCCTAGGCCACTGGGCACAGCTCCAACCTCCCTCAAGTAACATTTGACGGCTGAGTTTACTCCGGCGACTTTCTCGAAAGAAAAAAAATAAAAAACACTGGCAAAGCATGCATCGAGACATAATGGGATCCAGCCGTGGGCAGAGACGGCTCGTTTAAAAAACCGGCTACCCTAACAGTCGGGAGATTCTAAGTTTCCAACCAAGGTGATATTCCCGTACCCCCCAATGTTCTGGTAGAGGTTTTGGGTCTGTGAGTCTGACATTTACATCAAGGTATTTGGAGTTGATCCCTCCTGCCAGACATGTAATCGTGAGCATCAACCTGACCAGGACTCAAAGGTTTTGCAATCAAGTGATACAGAGTTCTACATAAATAACTTGGATCTGAAATCAGACAGCTTACGAGAGTGATAATTCTCGAATGTTACATGATTGATGTTACACTGCTGCCATAACTCTGAGCTAAAAATTGTAGTGATGTAATTATCTCTGGACTTTATTGGACCTAAAAATACTTCATGTGTTAGAGAATGAAGGTCCCTTTCAAAGTTGAACAGTAAAACTGGTTTGTGTAAGTAGATTCCGACTTTTTTGCCTTAAATTAATCTCTTATTTCTTTACTGCATTCCCTTATTGCGAGATTGACTTAAGACAGCTCAAGGCGAAAGGACACCACGATGAAACTTTCAGATACAACAAATGGAAGAATTAGAGGAGAGAGAGAAAAATGTTTTGCTGAACAGACGAGGGGTTGCCTGTAACGCAAACCAGATTACAAGATGACGGTGAAAGGCACGACGAGGGCAAAAGGTTTCTGACAAAGCCGCTCATGGAAAGAAGTCACTTTTAAAAGTTCCTCCAGAAGGATTAACTGTAAACATCTTTTTAATTTCAAGTTTATTTCAAACGATTATTGGCACAAGCATTTCTTCAAACTTTCAATGCCACCAATGATTATGATACTGAAAATGAGATTGGGTGATCATGCAATTTGAAAACATCCCCAAAACGAAGAATTTGTCAATGGCCACTATATATATGGAAGAGCAATGAAATTGGAACAGAATTTATCACCTAAAAACAGCTTATGAACGTTCAACTCAATAAATCTCAACCTTTTCAGCCCGTATTAAACATAACGCCATGTTGTAGTTAGCGCACACTTTTAGTTCCTTTAAGTTTCCTGAAAAGCAGTTATTGTCAGGTAATATTTTTACTTTGTTAAAACAGAAGCCATAAGAGGCGAGACATTAATGATGAGGGACATTCCATTCCTTTAATGGGGAGGTCAAGGAGGCAGAAAAATCTACTGATAACCGTGGGTTAATTCTGGGCTGATATAATGACAAGCCTCTTCAAACATCCACCTTATGGAAACTAACACGATTTTCTTACGAAATTAATTAATAAGTAAGTGGGGTAATCAGATACAATTTCATATTTACGACAAAGACAAACAGGTAAGTGTACCTTGACAACCGAGGTAATGGATTGGCCTGTGGTGCATGACTTTGAAGACTGTGTTGCTTCTCATTTGGCTTTCTGCTCTCTACAAAATTCGCTTAGACTAATTACGAAGCTGCATGTCCCTCTTGCAAATTTCCCCATGATTTTGATTCCCTGTAACATTGACACTTTTTTCCCAAAGGTGCCGAACTCAATGCCTTTCACAGCTTCTGATTGCAACTGCTGATGGGACCATTTCACAAAATTTGATAACAAATTTTAGGGGTCCAAAAGTGTGACATTTTCGTTTCTCTGTTACACCTGACCTTTTTTATTTGACATGGGAATACAGTATCACTGAAACTGACTCCAAACTATTACTATTTGTTTGGCAGGTAATTTGCATTCAGCTATCACTCTTGGAAATTACAGTTAGAAAAAGTGTTCTGAACTTACAAATCATGTGTCACATGTGACAGGGACACGAAAAAAAATGGACCCCTAATTTCTGGAATTACCTGTGTAGATGATGCATGAGCATGCACACGGACATGCATGGCTAATGAGCCAATGCCCAAACAGAAGCAAGTCTGAGGCTATTCGGGAAGAGCGGCACACACGCGCAGTAGTCCGTCCAATCAGCGCAGCCATGCCCCGACTCAAGCGCGTACTTTGCTCCTGAGAGGCCTTGCTTTGGAAATCCAACACAGTCTCACTGAAGAAAAAACCTTTGAAGAAATGAGGTTCCTAAAGCTTATCCCTATTCTAAGAGACAAATAAAAATCGTCCCATCCGACATTTTCTGTCATTCAAATTTGCTTTGCCTCAAATGTTGAGCACATGCCAATTGCAGAAGGCCTAAAAAACAAGACATTCCTCTCAGTGAAGGCTCACTGAAGAGAAAATACACAGAAATCTGTCAAGGAATTCATGTCTGGCCCCAAAAATGACAGCCGAAGATAAACACGGGTCGACAGTAGCATAAAAAAAGTGTTCTGATGGACACTGAAGTTTTGTAAAATGGTCGTTTTCAGAGGGGCACGCAAGCCTATCTTTATTTGTTCAAGCTGATTCAAGTCTCAGTTGCTGCTGTTACTACAAGAATATGGAGGCCAATGGACCCATGTGGCCAGTTTTTAAAGGCTGTGGCTGTTGAAACATTGGGGCCACTTCTGAATGGTGGCCTGTGACGTTAAGTATTAGGCCAGTGTGACTCTTCCGCTGTTGAGGCACCCTGTCAAAATAGGGCCACTTGTCCATTCGTGCAAATTAAACTTGTACCCTCCAGTCTATTGCGGCCAAATCTCAGAGTGGCTACTGATACATTCTGGCCAGTGGCCACTGATCTATTTTGGCCGCTGGGGCCCTACCCGCTAACTGTACACAGCCAACAGGATGATTATGGCTACCTGTCCATTTCGGTCACGTGTCACATTCATGGGTAAACTGTTCATTGTGGCCACCTGTCCTGTGTGGCCATCTGCCCACTGTGGCAACCTGTCTGCTATGGTCACTTGTCCACAGTGGACACCTGTCAACTGTGGCTACCTGTCCACTATGGTCACCTGTCCACTATGGTCACTGGTCCATTGTGATCACCTGTGCACACTAGCCATTGTCCATCATGGCCAACTGTCCAACTGTGGCCACAAGCCACCAAGTCCTTTATTTTCCCAGCAACGAATTGATTAGTGAACAAACATACCAACCATACATGTATAAAGCTACATGTACACGGATGAAGAGCCCAAAGTTGCAACAAAAAGCCTTTATCTGCCAGCACACTACATGTAGGTCTCCTAACACATAACAACTCTAATTGTTTTAGAAGAATGGGGCAAAGTTAACTGCCTTACATAAATCCACAAATAAAGAATGAAATAGTTCAAGTTACAAAGCTGTGCCCAATGAATGTGTTGATAGGGTTAAATTATACATGTCGCATGCATTTACACTTAAAGTGACTGTGTGCATTCCATGATACATTGCCTGTATTTATGCATAAGTGGTCAAATGTGATTAATAAAGCTTGACAGAGGTCATTTTCTGTTTGCTTTGAATGTTGCTCTGTTAGCTGTGAATGGTTATTTTTGTGGATTATTACAAAATTGTTTTACACATCTTCTATCTTCCATAAATTAAGTTGATTTCTTGATACACAACTGATAAGTTTGGGGAAAAAATGGAGAACATTCATTCTCTTGTACTCACTTCCTGATTTTCTGTAACATTAGATATACCAATTCTGTTCTTTGCCAAAATGGGGTCATGACCTTAGCAAGAGGTCAGGTCACAGAAGCAAGACTTGGTCACTGCGATTGCCCCTGTAATTTGGACACTCAGGTGTGATGCAGGATTTTCAAGGATTGAAGGACACATGAAAATCCATCCCTAAATCAAATACATCAAGTTCTTCACTGAGAGGCACTGAATGCTGCATTCTAAGCACAAACAATTGGGATTTTGTATTGTTGCCAATGCCATGCCGAACATCAAGTCTTGTGGACTGAAAATAAGTCTCTTAAGACTCCTACACTATCTGGGTAAGAAAAAATCAAGTCAAAGTGTTGATACGTTTTGCTGTACTTCAGTTCGAAAACGAATAGGCCTCTCAGTAGTTTTGTGGTAGTCTTTGAACAAACTTAAAATGAAAGAAAAAAGGCGGCTTACTTGTCAGGAACGGCTTGAGGAGGTGCACTGCGTTGATGGACCGGAGCTTGAGGCAATGATGTGGTGGAACCATTGGTGTAGCTCCCCGGGGGCCTGGAACAAAGAACGGCGAGAGATGCCCTCCCAGATGAATGAGAGTGAATTGCATGAGATCAAGGAGTGCACTTAAGGTTCCCCCTACCCCCCAACAAAAGCTCAGCTTGGGAGGACAGACCATTCAGAACACTCTTTTCAATGGGCTCATTTTTTTCCGGCCAGCATGAAAGGAAATCTGTGATGGATACTCGTTCCCAGGAAGCACGGGGAGGGGAGGAGGGGGCAGAAGCGATCTACATCTGCTGAGTTTACTCCTTGGGGAATCCAGATAATCACGGAGTGCTGGGGTGGTTTGGGGACAATACTACCTGGCCCGGCCATTTTAGTCAGTACAGCGACTATACCCAGCAAGAAATGAGACCGAGGGGTACCCCCCCAACATA